CTCAAACTCCTCCCCCTCAGCCTTTCTAGTAGCTGTGATTAAAGGAACATGCCACCATGCGCAGTACAGATTAGTTCATTTTAAATGTAGTGTTTGGGGAAAGAGTGAAAGGAGTATGAGAAATCTTAATTATATTGGTCACTTAAGTTATGCAATTTCCATTTTTCATAAAAAAGCATCTCCACAATTAAATATTTTTTCCCTTTAAGAAAATAAATTCGGAAAGATGTATGTAAAAGGTACCTAATACAAAGTGAAAGACTTAAAAGACAGACAGTAGGAAAGTATTCATCTCATTCTACAAATTAACTTCAACAGAATTGAAATTACAGTAATTGTGGCAGTACTGGTAAGGGATTTTACCTTTTCTAAAACAATATGTTTTATTGTAGCATTGAATCAGTAGAGATTGTGGGGATGGGTTATGTTAAACCAGAACCCGATAAAGAACTTGGAAGTAATTAGGGTGTTTAATTTTATTTTTATATTGTTTATTTTTGTGCCACTTCCTTCAGAACTCTGGGTTGGATCCCATTTTGCCCTGGAGTTGTTCCCACACTGGCAGTGGGTTTGCCTAGCACACTGTATCACACAGAACAGACAAGGCTCCTAGGATTTGTGTTTCTCTTGCTTTGCTAGATTTTCAGGAATGTTAATGAGGGTGAGAGAATCATAGATTTTATATGGCCATAAATTCTTTTAGATTAAATATAATTTCTTATAATTTTTTTTTACCTTTTGTCCTCAAACTTTTATTTTACTATGCTTTTATGTTTATTCTTATCAAGTATATTTTTGTAATTTTTTTCTGCTCCTGTTTTTCTGTCTCAGCCTTTTTTCACCTTCTCCCTAATTCAGCTGTATCCAGTGCTTGACTTCACCATAACATCTTTTGTCTCAGTATATGTAGACTAGTAAGGAAATATTCAACCTCAGTTTCTCCTTGAACATTTCATTCTTATATCTCAAAAATCTAAGTGACAAATGAATCTTCATTTTCCGTTTTTTTCCTACTACTTTTCTTTTTTCTGTAGTGAATTTTATCAAGCTAACATGTATACCTATTCCATAGTTTATATTCCCTCTACTAATCCATCCCATCCCGCCTTGGCTTATTTCTTGGTTTACATTGATCCAAGTAAGAATTCTCATTTCTGTTTTAAAAGCATAATTCTATTTAGCCTCATCCAGAAATGAAATAAAACATTGACTATACTCATTTGCCTGAGCTAGCTAAAAATAAATATTCCTTTGCATGCAAGGATCCTAACTAAAGTTTAAAGAGAATCTTTGATATGAACACTGGAGTAAAGTGAAATATGTATCATTGAATATTTACCTTCTTTACTTAATAGCAGCCTTTTAAAGTTTAGGTTTCTTACATACATATGAGAGAATATACATCTTATTAATGAATTTAGTCAGAATTAAATTTAACAATTCCATAACTCAGCCAGGCATAGTGGCTCATACTTGTAATCCCAGCACTTTTGGAGGCTGAGGCAGGCAGATCACCTGAGTTGAGAAGTTCAAAGCCAGCCTGGCCAACATAGCAAAACACCGTCTCTACTAAATATACAAAAATTAACTGGCCTTGGTGGTGGGCACCTGTAATCTCAGCTACTTGGGAGGCTGAGGCAGGAGAATCACTTGAACCCAGGAAGTAGAGGTTGCAGTGAGCCAAGATTGCACTACTGCACTCCAGCAAGAGCGAGACTCCATCTCAAAAAAAAAAAAAAAAAAATTCATAACTCAATTATATTTTACTGACTTTGCTTAAAATTTTTAAGAAAAAATATGGTTTGAATTACAATTTTTATTTCTTTTCTATATCTTTCAATTTTTTAATAAAAGGAATAAAATAGTTTCACTTTTAGTATTAACTATATAACAAAAGCAGGTGTTAAGGAAAATGTACATTTCTTTCTTTGAGAGGTTGATACCTACCATATCCTAGAATGCGAAATGAAACAAAAACATTTTGCATTATTTTTGCATCAAGAATAAAGCCTGGTTTGGGCTAATGAAATATTAACCACTTTTTTTTCTCCTTAAATATCATTGCATATTCAACTGTCCCTTGAACATGTATTTTTGATATAATACCCATCTATGAGAAACTTAAATTGACTTACACTAAATCAAAATTCTCCCAATTCACATAAGAAATTTAAGGAAACATTTTACATCTTCCAACTGTTTCAGATGTGTTTATCTTAATGGATTTAGTTGAATGACTTACCCAGCGACATACTGGAAGTGTATATGAAAAGTATGATGTGTAAAACTCTTATTTCAGCATTCATTCCACAAGTTCAGCATTTCCAAACTAGTACTTGGAACAGTTTATGATGTTAAGTATTTTAAGTTTTAGTATCTCAAAATAAATTCATTTTTTTGAATGATTTAATGCTTAAAATCTCCTAAAATATAATGTTCAAAATTCCCTTGCTTTCTTATTTGAAGTTACAACTTCATCTTCCTGCAGTACAGGGCCCAGTTGGATTATATTTGAGAATAGAAAAATACAAGTTATCCTTATTCTCTGAGATGCTCAACAAACTGATTAATCTTTTTTAGTTAAGAATGCATTGAAAAGAAAGTCTGAGTTTCTGGAAAAGTGTTGAAGTTGCCATTGACTACATTAATCCTAAATCCTTTAAAAAATTATGATTGTCTTCAGAAAATTGTATCAGACTGCTATAATGGAAAATAGCATTAACATGTAATGCCCCGTTCTAAATAAACCCAACTTCAGAAAACTGTTTACCTTTCTTTTTTTTTCCCCAAGTAACATGTTAAGAGGTTCCTTTCTGAAAATTTTTCTTAGGCACTGGGAACTCAGATTTTTCATTTGAAATATAACATCTTTATTTGTCATGAACGATAGAAGTTGCAGTGTATTGCGTAGTACAACCACTATACTCTTTTCAATAACAATAAAAACAAAAATAATAGTAAACAGAGAGAGCTGTGTTTCTAACCCCAAAGAAGTTGAAGACCTTAGTTTAGATACTTCATAGGAATTCCATATGGAGTCCTCCTTTACCTCCTGCCAATTCACCCAAGGAATCTTTTCTTGATAAATCCACCCACACTAGCTATCAAATCTAAACATGACAGAAGTAAGTTAGCATCAATTATTTACCCAAGTGAGACAAAGGTTTGTCATTTTTTTTTCCTATCTTTCTTTCAGCCCTCCCCATCCCATTAGTTTTTAATATTTCTTTAATCTCAGAAACAATCATTCCTAGTTTATGTCAAAGTCAGGACTTTGGAATTTGAAACATTATCCATTATCTTTACCACTTTCTGTAACTATCTCATTTTAGGCTAAAACTACAAAGCATTACTCTTTTTTTTTTTTTTTTTTTTTTGGCGGGGCTGGGGGGAGACAGAGTCTTGCTCTGTCACCCAGGCTGGAGTGCAGTGGTACAATCTTGGCCCACTATAAGTAGGTCATTCCATTTAATATAATCACTTATTTTGTTATTTGTTTGACATATTAAATTGTCAAATATAAGTATTTTCTTAATATGCCTCTTCTCTGATTTTATAATACAGACTCAATGATAAAATGTTTTCAAGTTTGTTTTCATATTTGTAGTGTTCTTACTAGCTGGCTAGCTGTAAAATGTAGCCTTCCCAGTCCACACTAAAATCCATTGAGTGTTCTAATTGCACAAAACACCATAGAAAAACCTTGTCTATCACTTTTAAAAACAAACTGTGAATGTGAAAATATCTCTGATGTGACTGCTTTATAAAGTTCAATAAAGCAGTTTTAATCCAGAAGAATATATGACCTGAATGTTTGTTAGACTCATGATATGTAGCAACAAAATCATCTTTATTTTGCTTCAGTCTGACAATATAATGTATAAAATCACAAATTGTTTGGATTGGCAAGATTTTATTTTACTAATTCTGAGATACTATAAAAATAATACTTTATATTTTTAAAGTGTTTAGAAAAAGTAAACACTGGGAAATAAGTTGGAGAAGATAATTTTAAGAAAAACCAACTGAAATCAAGTCTGTCTTAGGGAACAAGTAAGACTGAAGAAATTGGAAGAAATCTTTTGAAAAGAAGGAGAGACAAGTGATAAGACACAAAGAAGTAAAATCTTCCATTTACAATAACTACAATGACTTTAAATGAATAAAATCTAAATGCCACTAAAGATAGATATCCACTGATTTGGATTTGAAATTTAAGAACTACACAATTTTGGATGAATTATTCTTCAGATATCTGGATTTGTCAGTTTATAAACTTTAGAAAGTACACAACACTTTCTAGGTATGATATAAAAATGTTTAAATATTTAAACCATAGAATACATTATTACAACATGTTCTTTAATGTTGATTTTTAGTCAGAATAAATGTAATACCAGTGTGAGCCACAGGGTGGGAGTGAAAGGCAAGAACTTGTGTTAAAGCAGCTTAAATACATAATTGCACCGTCTTTATAAACCTTTTAAATGCTTGTTGAATTATAAGGAGCTATAGCTTGGTTTTCTTTCTTCCTCTAATACAGCTGTATGCTTCAGCAAAGAATCTATAACAAAAGACAAACACATTGATTGAAATATATAGGCCATTTTTATTGAATATGAAAAGAAGTAAACACATAGATTTCTTTTTTTTCTTTCCCAAGTTTCTGGGCATATGAGGTGCATGATGAACAGGGTAGCAATTTTGATCAATAGTTGAATTTGAGAAATTTCTTGAATTCCAGTACTGGAAATAGTAATCGAAGTTACCAGAAATATTTCATCTCTTCACACTATCCTGCTTCGTTTTCCTTTTTTCTTGATTTTTCTTATTTAAAGAAAAAAATCAATTGTATATTACATATAGATCTATAAGCTGCCTCAAGTTATTTTTCAGTAGGGAAGGTAAATAAATTTTCCTTTGTGTTTTCTCTTTACTCGATCTCATTTGAATTTGGAAGCAATTTAAAGTAGTAACAGTAATCGTTTTGTATCTTTAAGGTAAGAAGACAAGAGGTTTCTTCTCCTAGAAAAGAAATTTCAGCAAGGAGTCTTGGTAGTCCTTTGCTCCATGAAAGGTAATTCTATATCCTTCTTCGCCAACTCTGAAAAATTATCAATACTGAAATATGTTTTATATTTATATATTTTTAAGCTTTAACAATTACAAAAAAAATACCGGCTTTTTAGAATAAGCGCAAGTGACTAACCCCAGAGCCCTTCATGTTAAAAATGACCTAAGTAAGTCATACAGTTAATAGCAGAGCTGATCTAAACCTTGAATTCTCTAAAGCTCTACTATTTAAATAGGCAAATATTAAGGCCATATTTCTTTATATGGGTGAATCCTAATGTGAACTTTACCAAAATGAGGAATATTTAATATTCTATTTAAGATGTTTGCAGAGAACAAAAGTCAGTGCATTGAAATTTCTAATGTAGAATAAGACATCCAGCATTAGCGTATATATGAATAAGTAGATACGCTAGACTATACTACATGTATGTACTAGAACTTTTAATTTATCACTTAATTTGTGCCTGGCTTTCTACAAAAACAAGCTGGTTTTGGGGACATTGTCTAGGAATTTAAAATAATTTTTTTAACTTTTAAATAATTATTTTATGGTACATAAAATGGTACTACATAAGTTTAATTATTTAAAAAACTTGGAAGTTATAGCTTTACATTTTAAAATGTTGATTTTTTTTTTTTTAGGGGTAATCTAGAGAAGACTTTCTGGGATCTGAAAGAAGAATTTCATAGAATATGCATGCTAGCAAAAGCACAGAAAGACCACTTAAGCAAACTTAATATACCAGACACTGCAACTGGTAAGATTTAATTTAATTTACAGTAATATTGATTTTATTGATTGAAATTGATTTCTTTTTGAATGTGAAAATATTTTTGAATGCCTATTAAGTGTGTGGCATCTGTAAGTTACCCCTCATCCACATATATTTAAATATGTACATGCTAGGTAAGTTCTGTAATGTATTACATATGTAATTGTTGGTTTTTTTCTCTTTTTTATATATGGTGCTGTGAAGATTGAATTGAAAGACATAATTACTAATTATCTTAATAAGAAATCCCATCTTTAAAAAATATGAATAAATATAGAATATATCCCTGGAAGTTTTCAGTTGTTGTTTGGGGGTCTTATTAAACATTAACTCTTACGTTAATAAGTGACGTGAAGCCGCACTACCATATTATATGAGCTAAGTAAAACTATAACATCAGGTGTGCTTGTAACTTCTGCCTGAAAGTTCATTACATACACATGGATAGATGTGGTTTTGGTTTTTTGAGGTTTTTTTTTTTTTTTTTTTTTAAATTAAATACAAGATCTTGCTGTGTTGTCCGTACTGGAGTACAGTGGCTATTCACAGGCATGATGGCACACTACAGCCTTGAACTCCTGGGCTCAAGAACTCCTTGACCTAATTTGGTTCAAGAGTAAAAATGTGGCACTCAAATTTCCTGAGTGCTAGTCCTGTTGAATACACAAAATACACATTTAGTATGAAATACAACTTAGAAGGAACATTTGTTTTACACATGTGTTACCGTATTTTTTTAAAATGCTGTACCCTCCCCTAAAACCCCAGCCTGGCTTCCTAGTGTTTGCTTCAGCAGTTCAATATGAATAGCAAAATATAAAGGATTAGATCTGGCAACCAAACACTTCTCTAAACAAAAGGAAGGTAAACTGATCATTTATAATGACAAATTCTCCTTTACCCTTGTGATTTGAGCTATTCTGCAGACAATTCCCAAGAGATATGATTTACAGTTTTCACTCTGAAAGATGTTGCTGTCTTGGTGACTAACAACCTTTTAATTAAAGATCAGTTTCTATTTCTTATAGCTCTTACATCTAGGCTATTTAAAATCAGTTTATAGTATAAATTCACTTTTTGCTACCACTACCATTTTATTTGCAGAACAGTTACACAATGTGTTATCAGAAAAGCAAAACAGTCTTTGTAGACAGACATAATTTGGTTCTTTCTTTCCCTTTCCCTACCTCCCCAAAAACTGTCCACCTTAATTTTTGTCATTTTCATGAGAAATTGATCTTTTGTATGGACTAAAGATAATAGATACCTCTCAAGTAAATGAATTATTTCTGTTTAAAATATGCTAGCTATGGAGATATAGTACCTAGAATTCACAAACATGCTTTTTGAACATCAACATCTTATCAAGGCATTGTAATGGTGATATATTCTTTGTTACACAGAAAACTTACCTCATTATCAATGGCTTAATACTTTGACCATTTTTAAATTGCACAGGTCTAAATCTGAGTATGTAACTGTCAACTAGAACACTGAGTGTTTAACTTCAATTTCTTCTCCGCTAAAACTGCTTCCTTATGCTTTATTTTTATGTTTTACGTTAACAGTGTCACAAATAATAAACACATTATTCTCAAAATACTTTAGATATTTTGTGCTACAGACTCTAGTGAAGTTTTGCTGGGGTCCAAAGACAAACCAAAATAAATATTATGCTCTGACAGTAGTATATCAAAAGGAGAAAGAAAAAAATATTTTTTAAAAGATGCCTATTCAGGATTTCCAAGTATGTATGCTACACTGTATAAAAATATAGAAGAACTATTTCAAATATGATTTGCATGCTATATCTGGGAAAAGGCATATATATTGTCCCTGTGTTATTTTGTATTAAAATTTTTACTTTGAAATAACCAGATATGATTCATTTGAAAATACTGAGTTAGTAGAATTAAACATTTCCTTTTCATTATTAAATACTTTTGTCTACTCATCTGCATATGGCAATAGACTTCAGAAAGGATAAAGATAAAAGCTATATATGTTTATCCATATATAGCTTCAAAAAAAGTACTGTTTGGTTCATAAAGGAGTGTCTAATTTCAATGGAGATTAGGAAAGAAGAATATAGGATTAAGAGTAACAAACAACCATGAGGTCTTTTTTCTTTTGTCAATATACAAAATAATTATACTGAGAAGTAATCTAAATGGATAAGCCTGTATTTAAAATTTGGAAATCTAAAAATGTTTCTCATTTTCCTTTTTTCCTTATAAAAATAGGTATTCTTAAAATAGACAAAATAGAAAAGCTATTTGCTTACCTGATCATGTTTCTCAATATGGTGTCAGGATGACAAGTGCTTTCATGCATCTCATTGGAGTTTTAAGTTGTCTCAGCTTAGATTTCTAGTAGCATTAGGAATCTTAGGTTTAAACTTTTTAATAGATATTAACTCTCACTGCTTGAGCAGATTAATTCAGATTATTTTAATGTGGCTGAGGTTTTATGCCAGCTAGCTTTGCTGAAAGAAAATATCTGCTTTTTCAGAGCCATTTCATTTCTCCACATTTTCTTCACAAGGGGGATAGATCAACTGCTAGAAAAATAATTCAAAGCACATTTCTGTCAATTGGGGGACTTCTTTCTATATATAGAAACCAACGTGTTCAATTTAGCATAATGGTTCAGAGCACAAATCTAGAGTTAGGTTGCCTGGGTTCCAGGTGCAGATCTGCCACTTACTATTATAGTTGTGTGGCCTTTGAATTAACCTCTCCAACCAGTTTCTTCACATGGAAAGTGGAGATAATAATAGTGCCTACCTCGGGATTACTTTGAGTATTGAATTAATGTACATACAATGATTATAATAGTGCATGCCGTGTGGAAGTGCTGTTAATGTTAATAGTCACTGCCGTTAGCAGCAACAGCTGATTCTTCGGCATTCACCTTGTTCTCCTTGTGAAGATCATTTGATAAGTCTCTCCTCTTCAGGTGTTACAGAATCTGATTACCTCACCAGTTAGTTTTCCTGATTTGTTTTTTGCAAGTAGCAAATGCCATCTACAAAGACAGTACTGTTTCCTAGACTTTTCTGCCACTTTCAAGTCTACTGCCAGGAAAAATGACTACTTGAGAGTTAATGGGCTTTAAGAACCTCAGAGGCTAAAGAAATCCAGCTAAACAATTAAGCTTTGTCACAATTACTATATCATTCCTAGTCACAGAGTATCTAGTAAATGTTTATTATTATAGTAGGCTCTGTAGGGGAGAGATTACAGATTCATTCGTAATTCATTTGTTAGGGGCATACTATGTGCCAGGCACTGGGCAAGGGTCTGGAGTTAGAGGGAAACAAAACATAGTTTAAGACCTCAAAAAGCCTACTTTAATGGGAGAAAGAGAGAGAAACCTGGAAATGCAGTCATGTGCCGAATGACATTTTCAATCAACAACAGATTGCATATACAATGATGGCCCCATAAGATTATAATGGAGGTTAAAAGTTCATATCATCCTAGTGACATTGTAGCTGTCATAACATTGTAGCACACTTTTTTTTGGTAAATTTAGTGTAACCTAAGTGTACAGTGTTCATAAAGTCTACAGTGATGTACAGTAATGTCCTAGGCCTTCACATTCACTCACCATTCACTTGCTGACTCACTAAGAGCAACCTCTGGTCCTGCAAATTCTGTTCATGGTAAGTGCTCTTTACAGACATACCCATTTTTTATCTTTTATGCCATATTTTTACTGTACCTTTTCAAAGTTTAAATACACAAATACTTACCATTGTGTTACCTACAGTATTCAGTACAGTAACATGTTGTATAGGTTTGTAGCCTAAGAACAACAGGCTGTACCACATAGTGTAGGTGTGTAGCAGACAAGACTGTCTAGGTTTTTGTAAGTACACTCTATGATGTTTGCACAATGACAAAATTGCCTAATAATGCATTTCTCAAAATGTTTTCCATCATTAAGCCACGCATGACTATATAACAGTGTTTCAGTCTTCAAGGCATCCAAGAGTCATGGGAAAGTCATCCAGAGAAACTATGTCCAAGCCAAGATAGGAAGGACAAATAAGAGTTAGGCAAAGAGTAATGGGAGGGGACACTTAAGGCAGTCTGCACAGCATCTGCAAAGGTGCAAAGACAAGACAGTGTGCCTATTTTGGAGAACTATACAAAGTTCATTATAGACAGAGTATGGAGTAAAAGATGAGCATGGAGAGGTAACCAGGGGCCAGTTATGGACAGTCTTATAAGCCTTTTCTGAGATCTGAGGGCCTTGGCGAGTCATCAAAAGATTTTATTAGGAAGGTAACATGATCAGATAGTATTTTAGAAAAACTACTCTGAGAATGAGGGATGAAGGGGAAGTTGCAATGAAGAGAACAGATTGGATATGAGACGAATTTAGAGGGAAAGAGTTTAAAGGTGTTATAATAATCCAATAAGAAAGGATGGTATGAAAAGAGGTATAAAGAGAGGCAGTTGGCATATAGCAAGATGAACCAAAGAAATTGGTTGCATTGTACTACACATATCCAAACAGAAAAAAAAAAATATTATATTGGAATGTTCTGTGGCAAAAGACAGGTGTCATGAGACAGCCAAGACCAAGGGAATGTAAAGGAACTGATGTTTGTTAAGTGCCTGCTAACCTCAACAGACATTTTGTATACCTTGTGTTCTGTATAACCTGTCTACCTAAATTTGCATCACTGGTAACATCTCTATTTGTGAATGTTCAACAGTGTCGATAACAGTTTTTAAAATAAACTTGGGTGCCTTCTTTAATGGACATTGTGGAACTTAATTTACCTTTTTCTAGTGTCTCAGAATCATCAACATGGAGACTACTTTGACTATTGTTTTTTATATTGAGCACTTCTTCGCCCTATACTAACTAGACTCGTGTGTTCTAAGTTCTTATGTCAGCTTTTTTGTTTTTCTTTTCTCTTCCTATGCTTTTCTCTTGTTGACATCTGTGTCTGCCTTTAGCAACTCATGTTCCCTTTTAATTTGCTGTTTCAAACCAGCTGTGAGTTAGGGAAAAACCATCAAGCTTGTTCAAATAAATCTAAAATGAGAGTAGGAGCAAAATTCTTATATCTTTGGACCTTGTGGCTCTAATTCTGGCTCCTTAGAAGCTCTACTTTCTTTCTAGCTTTTGAGTATGTCCTTGAAAGCTGAATTTGTTGGATAAATGGTTCTAGATAAATGAGCTACACACGCCCTTTGTCTATCAGATATTTACCTGTTATTTACAGAGGCCTTAAAAAAAAAAAAAAAGATATAAGATAAGAGGATGCGGTGGCTCACACCTGTAATCCTAGCACTTTGGGAGGCCGAGGCGGGTGGATCACCTGATTTCAGGAGTTCGAGACCAGCCTGAACAACATGGTGAAACCCTGTCTCAAAAAAATCAATCAATAAATAAAAGATATGTGATGAGAAAATCATATATGCAGTTTTCTTAACATGCATCACAGTGTTTCATCCTTCCTTTGCCTTCACTTTCTTCCCCCAATTCCTACAACCACCCGTCCCTCACATGGATTATTGAGAGCAGACAGTGGCTAACCTCATTAGTGATATACTTAGACAGTGACATTAATAATAAATGACCTAATTTTAGATATACCTAGTGAGATTTTCCCTTTTAACAACTTGTCTAAGCAAACTCACAGTTATAGCTTCTGTTACTGACAAAATGTTTAAATGTATACACTATAAGCAAATGTTTTTTAAGTGTGGAGCAGTGTAACTGTGAACAAGATGCAAAGCTTATAGCAAAAGACCTAGGAAAAGACAAAGAAGTTAAATTGCAACTAATAAGCTATGTTGCAGTTCACCCGCCAGAGACTGCTAATATTGTGTGTAAGATGGTGGCAGATTTTAAAATCCCAGTTGTCTTCATTTGCTATAAAAACCAATAGAAAAAATAATAATAATCTGTCCAAAGCTGATTGAACAGATTTTTTTAAAATGATCTGAATGCGTCTGTTTCTCTTTTGTGTTCTTCTCTCTGCAGAAACACAGTGCTCTGTGCCTATACAGTGTACGGATAAAACAGATAAACAAGAAGCGCTATTTAAGCCTCAGGCTAAAGATGATATAAATAGAGGTGCACCATGTATCACATCTGTCACACCAAGAGGACTGGGCAGAGATGAGGAAGACACCTCTTTTGAATCACTTTCTAAATTCAACGTCAAGTTTCCACCTATGGACAATGACTCGACTTTCTTACATAGCACTCCAGAGAGACCCGGCATTCTTAGCCCTGCCACATCTGAGGCAGTGTGCCAAGAGAAATTTAATATGGTGTTCAGAGACAACCCAGGGAACTTTGTTAAAACAGAAGAAACTTTATTTGAAGTTCAGAGAATTGACCCCATAGCTTCAGCTATACAAAACCTTAAAACAACTGACAAAATAAAACCCTCAAATCTTGTAAACACTTGTGTCAGGACGACTCTGGATAGAGCTGCGTGTTTGCCACCTAGAGACCATAATGCATTATATGTAAATACCTTCCCACTGCTGGACCCATCTGATGCACCTTTTCCCTCACTCGATTCCCCAGGAAAAGCTATCCGAGGACCACAGCAGGTAACTTTTGTATTAACAAATATGTTATTATGTGTGAACACACATTTTGCCATACATGCACAGATATGCATCTTTTATGTTATCAGACATCCTTTTTAAACTACTGACTAGCCAAACTTAAGGCTTTCAAAAAAACATGTAAGTTCTATAATAAATGACATGAAATTAGAAAAACTGAATATGGTAAAACTCTATTGTAAAGTACCTTAGAATTTATGTCAGATTTAAAAATACATCCTAAGCCTTATCCATATTTATCATGGTGTCACTTTCCTAGTTCCTTGTTTACTCAGCATTAATATTATAAGAAGATTATTAAATTTTGTAGTGTGAAACAAATGCTGTTTTATTTAATAGTTTGTATGTATATTCATCTTTATAAGAATTCATGATCTTTCAAAAGTAAATAATTGCATCTTACATTCCTATTTATAAAAATAAGTGAACCATCTTTCAACTAATACTTCTACTACAATTCTCAGTTATATAATACATAGATCTGTAGGGTTTAGTTTTGGTTTTGGTTGCTAATCTGGCAATGAACGTGTAGCCTAGTATATTTTTAAAATAGTCTCTGCATGTGTATGATATCAAATATTTTATTTAATGTTTCTACAGCTCACAGACTAGTATCCCCCAAACCTGCCTTTTAATTCAAGTTCTATCACAGAATAATTCTTCTAGTTAAAAAAAAAAAAAGTTTAATGTCTGAAAGCAAATGAAAAATATATAATTTTTACAAAAGGCAGAAGCTTATGGAAATACAGATTGATGTAAATGTCTGTGTAACTTGCAAACATTGTCTGATTTCTCTTTGCCTTGAGATATTTAATTTTTTTTAAAAAAGTATTATTAATACCCTTTTGCTTTAAGTACACTTAGAGGTTATAGACTTAAATCAGCATGCAAAGAAGGCAGTTGTCAAGCTGTGGTATATTTTAGTAGTGGGAAAAACTAGGCATGGCTGACAATAAATTTTAATTACAACCTCACTTATGTTCTTGTTCATTGTACTTTATTTCACATCATAGTCTCAGTTATACTTACTACTAAATGAAACAAATTAAACAATTTCATTTATTGCAAGGAGAATTCCTGTGGAGCTGTGAAGTGCATCAGTTCTAATGCTTGCTACTTTTTTCTCTATTGTATGTCTTGCTTGTTCTTTTACTAGTCTGTGCATTCATGTTTCAGTAGATGGCACCCTGCATTGTACATTTGCTTTCTATACTACAGCAAGGGAAACAGCTGGTATGTGATTACAACTTGATGAAAAAGTATTCAGCTTAAAAAATGCAGGAGAATTAGTGTCACAAGACATGGGGCATAAGGTTAGATAATTGATATTTTGGCAGAAAAAGCAAAGAAATCAGTTTGTTTTGAAGACCATGTTACTGTTCAGGATGGAAAGAATATTTCTTAAAGTCGGTTTTTAAAAAAACATTTAAGCTATTTTATTTGTATTAATAAAGCTAGAATGATAAATACAAAATTCCTGAGTTGAGCCAGGTATGGTGGTTCATGCCTATAATCCCAGCACTTTGGGAGGTTGAGGCAGGAGGATTACTTGAGCCCAGGAATTTGAGACCAGCCTGGGGAATATAGTGAGACCTGGTGTCTACAAATACATACATATATATATATATATATGTAGCTGGATGTGGTGGCATGCTCTATGGTTCCAGCTACTTGGGAAGCTGAGGTGGGAGGGTTGCTTGAGCTAGGTAGTTCGAGGCTGCAGTGTGCTGTGATGGTACCACTGTACTCCAGCCTGGGTAACAGAGCGAGACCCTGTCTCAAAATAATAAAAATAATAATTTTTAAAATCCTGAGTTGTTTGTAGATAGTAACAAAGGTAAGTGAAATTTTGGGCTACGTATTTCAAAATTTTACTTTATAGCAATCATTACTACTAAACACCTATTTTCTATATTAAGCTACCGTAACAAAGACTAAAGTATATCCGCTTATTATTGTTCTATGTGATTTTCTTTTTTACTTTGCTGAGTCAGTATTGGAATCCCAACTAAATTCTATGAAGAGATCAAATCTGAACTAAACGTTCTTAATAGAGAAGGATGAATATGGACTTAGAAAGTAAACTGAGAGTGGAAGATTGCCTTACCAACTTTAGAAGCTAAATTGCTTCTGATTTAATTTCTTACTATTTTATATATCTTAATAAGAATTATCTTTAAAGTACCAATTTTTATTTTTGGCCATATCAATTTCCCATTACAGTGATTTGTACTTTTTAAATTTACACTGAAAACATTAAAATTAAAATCAGGTTAACTCTAACTAGATTTTTGTTTATATTTTCATAATTTTTAATACTTTTATCAAAGAAGTTTTTCCAAAGAAAGTTATTTTACCCTAAATTTTATAACATTTATTTTAAATATTACTATTTTTTGTAATAAAACTGACATTTCTTATGAAAGGAGTTGAGTCAGCATTATTATAAGTCCTCCATACTGATATTTGAATTTATCTGGGTGCCTAGACAGACCTTGTATATTTACACCAATTGTACACAGCAGTAAACTGCTTATAAGAAGACAGTGAAACCCAAGTGCCTCAATTAGTAATATACTATTTATGTGAATGATTGGTTAACCAGAATGAAAGAAGTTAGGGGAAATAACAGTAATATTTGTATCAGGTGCTGGGCTAGGCTTGTGTGACTTTAAAAACATATTAGTAATAGGAGGACAAGGGGTCTCTTTAAATTTGACTTTATGAGGTGATTCCTCTCAAAATGCCAGAATTTAGCTGTGTCAGAGTAATTTACCTGTGTCCACATATGAAAGAAATTTTAAAAAACAATATGGTTTACACAATTCAGAAAAATATTTTCCAGTTAACAAACATCTATTATATACCTATTATTAAGCTAAATGCGGTTTCTTGTCCTTCTAGAAGTTTTTTTTAAAAAAGAATAAATGCACTTATGAAAGAGTATTTATGTGCTGTTATAGTGGAGGTAGTTCTGTTAAATTATGATTTTCCATAATTGTTTAACCAGGCAACTATTGACAAATTTACTTTATTCAGCCATAAGAATGAGTAGGGCTAAACTATGTATTGTATCACAGAAGCAAAGTAAGAAGTCAAAAGACTGCATGTGTTAGATTTTGTTGAATGATTAAATATTTGCATTTTTAAAAACAAAAGATAACTGATCGGTGAAATTTGTTAATTAGTTTAAAAGGAAAATTTTCTCTTTAAAAATCAAAATAATGCTGATTCATGTATGAGGTATTCACTGTGTTTGTTTATAAATAGTAGTGAAATTGATTTTGATTCAGAAACAATGCACACACACATCATGTCTTATATAATATACAATAAAGCCCCTATAATTTAAGGTTTCTATTGTAAAATAGAAAAGAGAGAATTTAATTTAAAAGTCTAGAGTATCAACTATTGTTCCAAAACTACTGCTGTTGTGATCATTAGATTTTAAAAATTGCATGCTAAAGCTGCAATCGTTTTAAATATATTAAGATAAAATTTATCTGTGTGTGTCCCAAGTGATTTTTAATCAAAGTTTTGTTGTGCCCTTTATGAAACAAAGAATTAAGTTGTGTCCTCATGCTAACTTTGTGGAAAAGTAATTTGCTTTTATATTAGAGAATTAAATATATATGCTCATATATAACTCATTCAAAAATTCAAATTTGAAGTTCAATGCTATTTGAATTTAAACACAAGTAACAGAAGATATTTTTGTTTGTTTCCTGCAGCCCATTTGGAAGCCCTTTCCTAATCAAGACAGTGACTCGGTGGTACTAAGTGGCACAGACTCAGAACTGCATATACCTCGAGTATGTGAATTCTGTCAAGCAGTTTTCCCACCATCCATTACATCCAGGGGGGATTTCCTTCGGCATCTTAATTCACACTTTAATGGAGAGACTTAAGACACATTTGAAAACAGACATATCAAGTTCTATGTGTGATGATTCTGGGTTTGTAATTCTATAAATACTTGATTGTAAACTAAATTCAAGATCATTTATAGGAAAATCTAGTTTCACAGCTATTTGAATTTTTTTCTAGATTTACTGTATAACTCTTATTTTTTAAAAAGATCATTGTGTTCTTTCTTGGAGAGATAAGCCCAAAAGAAGAAAAACAAAAAAACATTATATATAAAACTATAATCCTTTATATTCATGTTTACAGTGTTACTACTATAATTCAAAATTATGTCTGTGACTTAGAGAGTTATATAATCATAATTTATGTTTATTTCAAATATCTAAGTTTATTGCTTGGATTTCTAGTGAGAGCTGTTGAATTTGGTGATGTCAAATGTTTCTAGAGTTTTTTTAAATGTGTTTTTATTGAAAAATATATATTATTTATGCTATATGTGATATTCTCTTTGAATAAACCTATAATAGAAAAATAGCAGACAACATAAACATCTTTGTAAATATCAAACCTAATACATTTTTTGTATAGTGATAAAAAGCTGGTAGAATTATTTAAACATTTTAGATTTTTTAAAAATAATATACATGGCTTTAATTTTTACTGTGTGTATAGCTACATGATGAAATTAATTAAATATTAAAGAAGTCACTTATGTTGTGATCATTAGTGTGTTCTTTGTTCCTGAATAAAAGAAAAGAAGGAAGAAAAGGAAGGAAAGAATCACATTTTTAGGGAAGTTTATACAATTCATGTTTTCATTTAAGTAACCTAATAGAAGGGTGACCACCAGACTCGGTGGCATTTATTATAATTAGTGAATCACTTTGAATTTTAAAATTATTTTTCAAACTAAACTTTCTAAAGAAACATTTGTTTTTAATGGGAGCAAATCTAAAACCCTGTAAGGACTATCCATATTTATTAACTTAGATTAGAAATGTTCATGTTGAGAAATTTGTTATTCATTGTTAGCAGCCTGATTGATGGCCATTGAAAGACATTTGAGAGAGTGGATACCAAATTCGGAAGACTGCAAATTTGTTTAAAATGAGACTTCCCTTTCATTTTTATTCTCTATGATTCTCGCCTTTTGGCTTTCTCTTTTCCCCTGATTCTTAAAAATGTTTGAGCCATGGCTTCCATTTTATGAAGTAAGCATTGATTTGCAATACTCAGAAATTTAAGCCTTCTTGAAACAAGTGCTTTAAACTGGAGGGTGTGGGATGGGGGAATATGAGCAGGCCTCTGTGTCACAGTGAAGAACCTTAACTTGTGGAAGAATGCGAGTGGTGCCTCGGCTTCTCCCGGTGCCAAGCACATCGTATTGACATCTTCCTCACCAAGGTGACATAGTGATTATTAGGTATTCACTGCGAAGGGTTCTGAGGCATGTACATCTTTCTTTCATTGCCACTAGGGCTGAATGGAAATGCCTAGACAATTATCCAAGTTTCTTCCCTTCCCCCCGCTTCCCGCCCACCCATATTCCCCTCTCACTCCTCACACACATACATACACACACACACACACACACACACACACACACACACAATTAAAAATAACTTCCCAGCGTGTACCAGCCAGAATATACCAGTGTACCTATCTCGTGAAAGGGGATTCTTCTTTTCCCCTGTCCTTTTCTAGATGGGAAGACTTCCTCTCAGCACAGTTGACACCTACTAGCTTGCTGACAACCAGAGGAAACTCTGAAAGTGACTCAAATTAACGTGTACCATTGACCTTCCTCCCCAGCCCATCCTTTCCCACCCCCACCACTTTTGGCAGGACTAGCAAACTCGGTTTTCTTTTGGGTTCCGACGGCACCTTAAGCTCCACGTTCTGAGGGACAGAGACCTTCTGGGGCCACAGGAGAGGTGGCCTGGAGAGCCGCCCCTGCCCTGCTCTCAGAGGGAGCGCGGGCCACCGCTCGAAAAGTGGAGTGGGCACCCGCCAGGTCTCTCCCTGTCTCATGACTGAGTCGTGCAGGGGCTGGCTTTTGGCATCTGCTAAGCGTGGCCGGGTAAGAACAGCTCCCAGGTAAAAAAGCTGCACACGCGAAACGCCGAGTCTGAAAAACCACCCCCGCCGAGGCGAGGCAGTTGTGAGCGGGATGCCTGAGAAGTGGGAGGTGAATGTCCTCGGGAGGGCCCCCCCGGTGCAGCTTTCCCCGGAGGCTGAGGCTGCTGCCAGCGGGGACATCTGCTTTCTTACACTCCAGCCTGGCTCACCCCGCCCCCTCAGCCCCGGGTTGCGTGGTTATTTTACCAACACGGGGGGAGGGAGAGCTCGAGGAGGTAGAAAAGGGGTGGATGGAAGCTTAGATTTTCTTCCCACTCCCCCACGTCCCCTCCTTTCTTCACATCTTTTAACCTTCAAGGTAAAGACTTTATAAATAGGAAACAATAAGCGTGTCCGCCGGCTCTCAGGCCCTCCTTCGGCTCGCCGGGGCTCTCGGGCGCCGGGCCTGGCCCCTTTCCATCGTCCCCGAGTCGGGCCGTGCTTCGGCGGTTCCGCTGGGCGCAGTGGCCGGCCGGGTGCACCCAGCCTGTGGCGCCTCCTCTCCCGGGCTGCTGCCTCGACAGCTGCTTGTAGCTACAGTAATTAGGCTGTCAGTGCTTGTTAGAGGAGAGCGGGGAAAACACGCTTCTGACAGCAGATTCCAAGACTCCCCAGTTTGTTAATTTCTAAGAGATCTTTAAAGCATTAATTGAGGTCTCCCCAACTCTCCCCTCCCGTCCCTCTCCCCAACTCCTCCCTTCCCAAAAATATCTTTAGGAGAAGCGAATTCTCTCCGCGTGGAAGCAGTGTTTCCCGCAAAACTGCGAACCCGCCCCCCGCTCACGCACAGACACCCGATTTCCCATATACAGATATGTGCACACATGTATACGCGGAAGGTTAACTCGGCGGAGGACTCGCCCAAATAGGCACCGGGATTGCATTTAAAATAATAATAAATAAATAAATAAATAAATAAACTAGGAAGGAAAGAGGGGGAGGGAAGCAGAAGTCGGGAAGAAAAGAGAAAAGCAGCAGGCTGATTACGAGGTGTCAAAACTGCCAGGAGCAAGAAGGTGATAGCAATCAGGGGTGAGAAGAGTGCGGCATTCGTGCGGGGCAACTAATTATCCGTCTCATTTGAGAAGAGCAGCATTTGAGGCAGCAGCGTTCGCCTGCTGAACGGTGACAGATTGGCGCGGAGGAGAGGGGAGGTGTTAAAACAATGGAGCCGGGCGCGCGAGCGCTGCTGCATGCTAATCAGCCCTCCCTCCGCCTGCCTGCCGCGCTCCCTCCTTCCTCCCGGCCTCCCTCCTCCGCGCTCCCTCCTCCCGCCTGCGGCGCTCCCTCCTTTCCAGCGGGCCCCGCGCCGCCGCCGCCACCCGCTTCCTGCTCCCTCGCTTTCCCGCGCGTCCTTCCCGCCGCTGGCGAGTGGAACCCAGCCACCGCCACCGAGTCCCTCGCTGGCCGGGAGCCCCCGCGCGGCCCCCCATGCCGGCCGGGCCGAACACAGCCTCGCGCGGGTTCGCCCGAGGGCGCAGCTTGCGCCGCGCGCCCACTCCGCGGAGCGGTGAGGTGAGGGCCAGCGTTCCAGGATCCACGTCTCGGGGAAGAGGCCGAAGAGCCTGCGTTCTCACGCCCACTCGCTTCTGGTGAATCGAACGCGTCGACCAGCGAGTGGGACCAGGCGAATTCAGAAAAGGCTAGGGGCAGCCAGGGCTGGAAAGAGTGGCAGGGCCACAAAAGCCAAGGGCTCCAGGACTGACGGCAGATCCCCTGCCCTGCCTGCCCCAGCGAGGCTGTCACCCCGAGGCCTCCAGCGGCCCCCAATCTGATCTGCAGCGGCCGCGCCCCACTGGCTTGCGGCGAGGTCAGCTCCCCGACCCCCGTAACGCCTCCCGCGCTGCGGCCCTTAGACCCCTGCAGCCCCCCTTTTCACCAGAGCCACGCGTCCAGGTTTCAGTGATCCCAGCGAAGACACAAAAAGGGCCTTAGTATTAATTGTGCTTCCAAGGCCTGACCTCCTGACCCCAAGACTAGAATAAGGGGCCGTCTGGGATCCCAGAGTTTCCTCGGAAGACCGTCTCGAGGAGAGAAGGGCCTGGACAGAAGCGGGCGGCGTTCCCCACTGCCGCGGAGACTTCGGAGCTGCCGGGGCCGGGGCTGATCCGGAGGCCCAGCTCCCCGCCGGTCCGCTCTGTTCTATACTCCGGCCTGAGAGAAGCTGGTCAAAAACAGCAGCATCCTTGCTGCCCCAGGACAAAGAGTCCATGAGAACCCGAGTCTGCTGAAAAAGGCCTTTCATACCTGTTGAGGCAGGCGGGGACCTGAGATTTGATACAACCTCCTCCTACTTTTTGACCATAAAACCCGATTGTTGCGCTTAAAAGACACTTTTATTCCTACCATTAAAATATTTTTACTGTTACGGGCTTAAACTACCTTATAAACATCATAAAACTTCCTTCCCACTAAAGTCGTGGATGGACTGCCAGAGTAAAAACCTGTGCACTGTAGTTTTTTCTTCTGCTGACCCTTACCTTTGCATAACTTTATACACACCACTGTTCCTTTTTAAAAAATCAATTAAAAATAAGGTTTGCTGAAGTTCAGTCATATATACACCCAACTTTCATTTGTATTATTTTGCTTTGTAATATTTCATAAAATTACACAAAAATGAAATTAAAATGAGTAAATTGTGATATTTGTATACCATCCTCATTGGTCCTAGTCATGTGAAAAACTACACAAGTGCACAGAATCACTTTTCCTTTAGAATATGCTCAGGCATACCAGTAGAGTAGCTGAATGCAAACTTAAGATCTACTAAAATCATTCAGAACATTCTAAAGTTTTTAAGTTGAAAAATCTTAGAAGAGTTACATAAAAGATTTTGTTAAGTAAGTGTTAATGCTTTCTGGTTTCTACTCTGGAAAACCACTAAGCAGGCCTCTGCCCTTAGCATATCGCAGACTTTTTGGTGCTACAGTATTAGCTGGCATTTGGAAAATTCCCTTGTGCCTGAATCTGTTAAAATAGCAACCTATCTAACAGCAAAACAAATTTTAACTTTATATTTATTCATGTAAACATGGAGATTCAGATGTTCCATCAGCGTCAAAATTAAGCAGCCTTTGCTTCATTAACCAATTCTACATAAGCAATGTCTCTCTAAAGCTGTGAACCTATAGAGCTCAAATAAATTTAGTTCAATTCCATGTTGTTACATATCTCACCAAATTCTTTGTCTTCCAATAACTTGGTTTTTATAGGTTTAGTGTAATTTTTTCCTCAGTCTACAGACCTCACAAATTTGCATGACTGTTTTAACGGTGTATTTACAGATAAGTTTTTATTTGCACATAAGGACAAAAAGGTGAAGTGAAATTTGGTCCCAATGGAAACCTGTTAGGTTCCCTGAACATATGGCTCATTGGGCTGTTACTTCCTTTTTGAGATCATTTTCCAAGATTTTTTAATATATACATCAATTTGACACCAGTTATAAAAGAAAATATATTGGCTTTGAAGATTCCTCCACCTGGGGCATATCTCTTAATAACACACCATGTAGTCAGGTGTACCTCTGAACGTTCAGGTTTCCAGTCTCTGAAAACAGGGCATAATTTGAAACTAGTCAGAGCTGCCAGTTGATTTACACTGTCTTTGAAATTAGGTAGTTCT